TATATATATGTGTATGTGTGAGCGTATGAGTGTGTGTGAGACGCACCTGCTCTGAAGAGCGCTCCTGCAGCGTAGTGCATGGCGAGTGTGTGCACCAGTTGTCTCGGTGTGGTGCAGATGGGGCTGCGCTCGAACAGTGAGAAAGACAGCGGCGTGTGGTCGGAGGCGATGTAGAGCTTGAGCGAGGCGTGGATGCTCACCAGCAGATGAACCGGCTCGATGGACAGCTTCTGCAGCAGCACCGGCATCACCAGAGCGTGTGTGGACTCCAGCACCTCCCGCGGGACCACAGGCTCCGCCCCTCCGCCACAGCCTTGCCCACCCAGGGTGCATTCTGGGATGTAGGTGTGGAAGAGCGTCTTCATGTAGTAGATGAAGGTGTCCTCCAGATAGACGCGCGCCGGTCTGACGCGGAGGGCGAGGCGGTCCAGCCGTCCGTCGGTGGAGACGGTGACGCTCAGGGACAGGAAGCAGGCGTCGCAGAACTCCTGAAGACGCTGAGGGGTCGGCGCGAGGTCGGGCTCGCCCTGAGGCTCCTGGCACAGGATGACGGGGAAGTGGAAGCTGGCGCGCTCGTACAGCTGGTTGTCCACCTGCAGGCTGGCGCAGTGGATCTGGACGGTGTGGACGGCCGAGGGTTCGCCAGGCGGCAGCTGAAGCAGCAGTTTGGAGACGGTGAGACGCAGCAGCTCCACAGAACTGGACGGGCTGGTGATGTCATCACAGAGCGCCACGCTCGCCTCGTTCAGCAGAATCTTGAAGGACAGCACCTGATCGGACGGCCTGCGGGAAACACACAGGTGAGCGAGTCAAACGCCGCCCTCTGCTGGACAAACTCAACACATGCGTGAACATAAGCGTGTTTGACCTGTGGTGTGTGATGATGTCTTCAGCGCTGCTCTCTGGTGCGAGCGTCAGCGTGATGGTGCCGCTCTGGTGAAGAACGTCGATGTACAAACAGCCGAAACCAGAAAGAAAAACAACCTAGAAAACACACAGGAGCTCCAGTCATGATGAGTGGAGATCTCTGACACATGACACACATCTACATGTCTACTGAGTGTTCAGAAACTGCTGATCTGATGCAGACTGAACTGACAGCACACACAGCAAGGCTGGTCCTCACGTCTCACACACACACACAC